TGTTTTATTCCTTTCCAATGTATCCTTGTAGGACATGTACTGAATCTTTCTAGTAAATTCACTGTAAAAGATATACCAGGTCTTGTATAGTTAGCAAGGTACATGAGTATGGCACTGAGGTATGGCACTTCTAGGCCAAGATCATCTTCATTAATTTCCTTAGGCCTAAAATAATCCTTTTCAATATTAAGTGTCCTACCCATCATTGGACTACTCAAAGGGTTTGTCTTGTCCATCTTGAACCTTTTCAATACCCTTTTTGTATAATTTGATTGATGTACCAATATATCATTTTTAGTATACTCAATTTGTAAACCAAGGCAGAATCTAGTTTTTCCCAGATCTTTCATTTCAAATTCTTTCTTCAAATAATTTCTTGCTTCTTTGATTTCTTTATTAGTCCCAATGTAATTTAAATAAACATCATAAACAACAATTATTACAAATCCAAATATTGTTTTTCTTATAAAAACACAAGAGCAAATGGGATTATTATCATATCCTTCTTTAAGCAAATATTTACTTAGTCTATTATACCACACGCGTCCTGATTGTTTTAACCTATATAATGATCTTTTAAACTTAATCGCATACATTTATTTTTATTTTGATGTATCAGGCCTTTTAAATCCTTCTAGTATTTTCATGTATATATCACTATCAAGTGGTCCATACGAATAAGCAGTAACAACATCCATAAGGTACATATCAAGATTATTAAATATTGATAAACTAATTAAATAACGAAAAGTAATGGCATCTATAACAGGAGAATATGTTACCTCATAATCGATCCATGGTCTTTGGTAAAAACCTTGTGCAACAAGACGAGCTTTGTATGTGACACTCTCATTTTTCTCATTTCGCTTTCTTACAAAAACCCACTTATACCCAACAGGTTTTACACCTTTAGGTATAACCACAATAGGGCCAAATACTTTTCAGTTATTAAGAGAATTTAATTCAGTATCTATAACATCCTTCCAATTTTTCCAATCATGTCTATTTTGACATTCATTCATAGTTTTGGGTTCGGGATCATCATATTTATTCATAACTTCGCATGCAACCGAGAAAGAAAATATCTCATAAATATTCATACCTTTTCAGTTCAATAAATTTCCTGTATTAACATAATTAATTGAAATCTCGAGATCATTCTCATTTTCAGCTTCATTATCAATTATCTTATTATCATTATCTTGTGCTTCTTCGAGAACATGTTTTTCAATCATAGATTTATTATCATCCATTGTCTTTTCAAGATCATTTTCAATCAAGTTTATTCCCTTTCTTTTTCGGGGATTTTTGTCTTTGGATCCCATAGGTCGGCCACGCTTCAAGTGTGCCTTAGATGTACTTGCTACATCATTTAGTTTTGAAATCGCAATCCGAGATGGGATATTTACAACTGGTACATGTGACTTTGTAACTCTTTTTAAATCAGTAAATGAATCTGGCTGTTGATTTGCTAAGTTTTGTAAGTGCATAATTTTCTTTACATTTTCTTCCCATGATTTATTATATGGGTCCAAATGTAATAAATGTGGTACATACCATGATATTTCATTTTGTGATTGTTTGTTTTCTCCCCCTAATGTTGGAAATTTTGTTTCGTCAAAATGACAATCAACAAATCTTTCCTGAAAAACATCACACATTAAAGGTTCAAGATATCTAATAATAGATGGTGATTCATACCCGACGTATACTCCCATTCTCCTTTGAGTTCCCATCTTTATTCTTTGTGGTGGAGCTATTGGGACATATACTGCACAACCATAAGTCTTTAAATGTGAAATATTAGGTTCTTTACCAATTGCAAGTTGATAAGGGGTATGTTTATGATCAGCGCTTGGCCTTAAGCGTATGAGTGTTGCAACATGTAAAGTTGCATGACCCCAAACACTAACTGGTAGTTTAGTTCTCATTATCAATGGTCTAGCAATATATTGAAGACATTTAATTAATGACTTGGCTAAACCATTTTGTGTATGCACATGAGGAACATGATGTTCAACAATAATTTCGATTGATATGCAATAATTATTAAATGATTCATATGTAAATTCACCAGTATTATTAAGTCTGATTTTCTTTATGGTATAATCAGGAAATTGAGCTCTTAGTTTAATTATTTATACAAGAAATTTTGCAAAATCCATATCACGACTTGACAATAAACATACATATGACCATCAACTAGATGCATAAATTAATACCATAAAGTACCTGAATGGTCCTGATGATGGATGAATAGGTCCACATATATCACCTTGAATTCTTTCAAGAATGTAGGTGATTATGTCTGAACCTTTCATGGTGAATGCTTTGTTATTAGTTTGCCAAGAGAGCAAGCTTCACATGTTCTATCTTCTTTTGTAAGTTTTAAACTTTTCAATGGATGACCATGTGTACTTTCAACTATTTTACACATCATTGTTGAACCAGGGTGACCTAAACGGTCATACCTAAATTCACAATTTTGGGATCTTCTTTTCCTACTAAATTGCATTCAATTTCATGTATATATGTATAATGTAATCCAGAAGGCAATTTTGGTAGTTTTTCTAAAGTTTTCTTCTTTCCCAAAACATTAGTAGTGATATTAATGTATTTCATGTTATCTTCAGTTGCAATTTCGATATCATATCCTTGAAGATATATGTCATTAAAACTCAACAAATTTCTTTTTAATTTTGGAGAGTATAAAACATTATTAATGACAAACTTTGTCCCATTTGGTAATATGAACGTGGCATTACCCGTTCCTTCTATCAAATCTGCAGGATCTGAGATTATATTTATTACACCTTTAGTAGGATTTATTTTAGTAAAATATTTCTTTCTTTTGAGGATTGTATGTGTAGTTCCACTGTACGGAATGCAAATGTCTTTGACATGTTCCATGTCTAACCCTTTCGAAATATAAATAAGATTAAATAAAGTGTAAATCAATAACATATTTAACATTATTATATTATGCAAATATAAGATGCACATACAAATTCTTAAGATGATACATAGTCCAAATGTAAAATTAATACAAGCACATTACTCATTATTCAAATAGTTATTTAATTCATTGGTCCTTCAACGAAATCAGCAGTCTCAAAATAGGTATTATCATCTCTAGGTTCAATTTCATTAAAATTCACTTCTTTTCCCTTTTCCTCTACATATGTCATTTGTCTTTTACACAAATGTTTTAGTGTTCTACACACCTTAGATCAGTGACCTTTCTTTCCACAACTGTAGCATACATCTTCATAATTTCTCGAGGGACCTTCTTGGATATACCTACCATTTCCTTGGTGATTCCAATTATTTGGTCATATCTGGGAGATATGTAATTATTCATATGACCTCGTCCACGTCCTCAACCACGAAAATGGTTTCGACCGTGGAAATGGTTTTGGCCATGGTATCTTCCTTGGCTGTGACCATCAAAACGAGCATGACCTTTATTACTATCAAAATGAGCATGTCCACCACGTCTCTTAATACGATTAAAGCCCCCACATCCACGATTAAAGGTTGTGGCATTTATTTCAGGATATGCAATTGTTCCTATGGGTCGTGTCTGATGGTTTTTTATAAGGAGCTCGTTATTTTGTTCTGCCACTAGAAGGACTGCAACTAAATCAGAATACTCAGCAAATTCCTTCATTCTATATTGTTATTGCAATAACACCTGGGATGCATGGAAAGTTGAAAAAGTTTTTTCCAATTTTTCTTTTTTAGTTATAATTTTGCCACAAAATTCTAGTTGTGCTATAATCTGGTGCATGATAAAGTTATATGCAACGACACTTTTATAATCTTGGAACCTCAACTTATTCTACTGATTCATTAATGAATGTAATAAAACTTCCTTCTGATGTCTAAATCTTGCTTTAATTTTGTCCCATAAAATCTTGGGATCTTTAGCATTTGAATATTCGGTTTGCAATCCATCATCAAGATGGTGTTTATTATTCTGTTCACTTTTGACTTTCTTTTTTCCATTTCATCTGGGTCGTCTGTCGATTTTCCAGAATTGTCTCCTTCAAGTATTTTGTTAAGTCTCTCACATGTAAGGTATTCAATTAAATTATTGTTCCAGGTTATGAAGTTGTCCACAGTTATGCTTAGAATTTTGAATTGATGCTTAAGATTTGACATGATTATATCTATAATTTAGATGAACATAAACAATATTAAATACATAAACTAAAAAAAGAAAAACAATTTATTCAATTACAAAATTTGTTACTACATATTATTCAAAAACCTCTACTAATAAACCAAGTTAAGACTAGTAATGGTAAGACGATAATTATTATCAAACCTACAAAATCATTACCTAATTCTCCACGTTTGATAACGTTGATAATAAATAAAATAATTACAAGTAGAGTGATGGACAAAAGAAGAATTTTAGCCATTTGAAAAATATGGGTAAAAGTTTTGAGAATGATGTGAAAATTATGGAAGAAGTTGAAATATTTATAGAGGTAATTTTTTGAAAAAATAGTCGTTATATTATCGTTGGAGAAAGGGAAAAGGTTAAATGTGAAAAAAATATTATCTAGCCAAAATTTAAGTGTGTAAAAAAAATAATTATATGACCATTATAAGTATTGGAGATAATTATCAGATAACATATAAGACAAAATAACACATATGATAAATATTAGAATATACATATGAGGTTTTAGACCTCCATTAAATATATAAAAAAGTTAGTAACAACATGAGATTTTAAATCTCGACTAAATGTAATATATATATATATATATATATATATATATATATATATATATATATATATATATATATATATATATATATATATATATATATATATATATATATATATATATATATATATATATGAAGATATAAAAGTGGTAGAGAAGAAATAAGAGCCACAAATGAAAGACGCAGAGAACATAAGTTGGTTGGAAGCGTGTGTATATGTGGCGCAGTGACAAGAAGCGACATAATCGGTAACAAAGATGGGTTTTGTAGGAGCATCCACTACTACCTCACTGCACTCTCCACTTCTATACCCATTTCTCTTCCCTTCTTCTTCTCGTCGTCATCGAACTCGTTCTTCTCCTGTTGTATGTTGCTCTCGCCATCACCACGATCCAATATGCAACAAAAGGACATTCCTTTTCATGGGTGTCGTCGCTGTTCTTCCCTTTCTTCAATTCGACACTGCCCCTGCTCTTGAAGGAATCATTCCATCCCCAAGTATGTTTTTTCATTTCAATCTTTTATTTGCTATTTATGAACCAATTCAATATTAGACATACACGTCAATTTTCGGATTATGGGGAGGGATAGTTTTTCTCGTTCTAGGTTTAGGTTAATTGATCTATTTCAATTATGATCACATTACTACATATCAATTCTCTTTTTTCAACTCTATTAGTTGCTTTCAATCCTTTTTATACCCTACTATGCAATATGAGATGAATGTTTACTAAAAGCTATGGGATGTAAGGTTGGCTTGCTGGTTGGAATAGGGGAGTGATATGGAGAACGGATTTCCATACCAATGTAATACTAACAATAGTAATATTTGTTTGTTCAATTAATGTGTGTAAAATATTTGATGTCGAGGGTATGTAATGGATCGAATTTCAACTTTATACATTAAATAAGCTTCTTGGTCTTGGTGATTATTGTAATTTTTTCTTATATAGTTTGAGAAGACATGAAGATTTTGTGATGTGGTAAGGAGAGTAGATTAGATGAAGAGGAGTCAAATCGTTAGAGATAGAGGAAGACCTAGAAAACTTAAGAAAGATCTCTAGATTAATGATTTCGATAGGAGTATGGTCCTGGATAGAACATTATGGCGGAAGTTGATCCATGTAGCTGACCCCACTTAGTGGAATAAGCCTTGGTTGTTGTGTTGTTGTATACGTTAGAGATCGAAGGTATTAGAGTATATACATGAGTAGCATAGAAAGGGTATCTTTGTAAAATGGCTGTGCTGAGTCAGCACAACATAGGAGTAGTATATAAACTCTGCCTTATCCATTATTGTAACTAACTGTGAGTTCTGATTTTAATCAAGATCTATTCTCTCTCTCTCTCTTCTTTCCACTATAGTTCAGTTTATAACATGGTATCTAGAGCTTAAGCTCGATCTTCGGCCATGGCTTCCGACGGCGAATCTGAAAACTCGTCCGGTGTGACGCCAGTGACGGCGGCGTTCAACGCGAAGAATGCGTTCAATGCGAAGAATGCGTTCAAGACCTTCGCACAACAAATTACCTTGAAGCTCGATGAAAACAACTTCTGTTCATGGAAACAGCAAGTTGAAGGGATCATCAGAACACACAAGCTTCATCGTCTTCTGGTGAATCCGACTATTCCTCAGCGCTACCTCACTGAATCCAATCGCGAGAACGATGCTGAAAATCCAGCGTACGTGACCTGGGAGCAACAGGATTCACTTCTCTTCACGTGGCTTCTTACGACTCTTTCTGACTCAGTTCTTCTTCGCGTCGTTCACTGTGTTCACTCTCAGCAGATTTGGGATGAGGTTCACAAATATATGTTCGCGCATACGAATGCGAAGTCGCGACATCTTCGATCGGAGTTGAAATCGATTACGAAAGGGGAGAAATCTGTTACAGAGTATCTTGCACGTATTCAACGAATTGTTGATGTTCTTGAATCGATTGATGATCCAATTTCTCATCGTGACCAAATTGAAGCCGTTCTTGATAGTTTGCCTGAGGAGTACAATGCTCTGCCGTCGATTATTCAGTATCGTCCTCTTCTCTGTCCTATTATTGAAGCTGCATGCATGCTACTCCCTCATGAAGCGAAATTGGAAAAAGCTAAGAAAAGTGTTATTGATGAACCAATTTCTGTCAATGTTACTCAGGCCACACCTCCGGTGACTGCTGATACTTCGCAGACTACTCATGATCCTGCAGCATAGGCTGCGTATGGTACTATGACTGGCTATGGTGACTCTCGTGGAGGTTTTCGTGGTGGCCATGGCTCACATAGGGGCAGAGGTGGTAGGTTTGGTGGAACACACAAGTTCAGTGTCAGATTTGCTATAAGGTAGGGCATGATGCAAGTGTGTGCTATCACAGACATACAACAATGATGCCTAATATGTGGCAACAGGCTCAGATGCAGGGTCCTCAATATCAGTGGACTCAGAGTGCTACTGCTATGCCATCCATCACTAAAAATCTGATGTCAGTTAGCAAATTTGCCAGGGATAATTGTGTTTACTTTGAGTTCCATGCTGACAGATGTTTTGTAAAAACACAGGCCAGCTCTGAAGTTGTGCTGCAGGGCGTGGTGAATAAAGATGGCCTCTACTCCTTTAATGGTCTTCAGCCTTTGCCTTCAATAAACAGCATCACAAGTGGTTCTGTACCTGTTGTTGCCCTTGTTAGTGTGTCTACCTACAGACTGTGGCATAACCGGCTGGGGCATCCTCATCACGAAGCACTCAAGTCTACTCTGCAGCTTTGCAATGTGCCAGTACCACACAAGTCTCCCTTGGATTTTTGTGTTCCCTGCTGTCTTGGGAAAGTGTATAGGCTGCCTAGTACACTATCACACACTTCTTACACCAAAGCATTTGATTTACTCTTTTTGGATGTATGGGGCCCAGCTCTTATGACTTCTACTTGTGATTATAAATACTTACTGACTTGTGTGGATGCTTTTTCAAAATATACATGGGTGTTTCCTCTTAAGCTGAAATCAGATGTCATGCTCACCATCACACACTTCACCACAGCCATTGAGGTTCAGTTTATAACTGTGATTAGGTCAGTTCAGATTGATGGTGGGGGAGAATTTCAATCCCTCACCAATCTGTTCCTCTCAAAAGGTATTGCACACAGGCTTGCTTGTCCTCACACCCATCATCAGAATGGGACAGTTGAGAGGAAGCACAGGCATGTTGTTGAAACAGGTTTAACCTTGCTTTCTCAAGCAAGTCTTTCCCTGCAGTGCTGGGATCATGCTTGCCTTACTGCTGCTTACCTAATTAATAGAATGCCCACCCCTCTCCTTGACATGAAATCTCCTTATTTCATGCTCTATGGTTCTGTACCTGACTATAGATTTCTCAAGGTGTTTGGCTGTGCCTGCTATCCCTATCTCAGGCCCTATTCTGCCAATTAGTTCAATTTCCACTCACAAGAATGCACTTTCCTGGGCTATTCTTCAAATCACAAAGGGTACAAGTGCCTAGCTGAGAATGGCAGAATTTATATATCTAAGGATGTGGTGTTCAATGAAGCTAGGTTTCCTCATTGTGCCAAATCAGTAGCTGCTGGTTCTACATCTGTTTCTTCCTCCATCCTGCCATCACCCTTTCCTATGGCTGTTTCTCAGGCTTCATCACCATCTAATACTCATCAGGGCACCAACAATACTTCTCCTTCTGCCTCCATCAGTACTGATGCACCTCAAGTTAGCAGTCCCATATCTGCTCCTCAAGGCATCAGCAATGCCAGCAACAGTTCCAGTTCCAGCTCCCACCATCAGTCCTCACAGACACCTGATGCTTCTGCTTTCAATTCTTCTACTGATTCTGCCTCATGAGATGGTACCTCTCCTTTACCCCCCTTACATCCTAACAATGTTCATTCCATGACTACTAGGAGGAAAAACGGCATAGTACAGCCTAGGAAACATCCCACTTTGCTTCTAACTGAGCTGGAACCTACATCTCATAAATCTGCCTTAACGGATCCTAAGTGGAAAGCAGCTATGACTGATGATATCAGGCTCTCATGAATAACAATACCTGGACACTGACAGTTTTACCTCCTCATAGGCAGGCCATAGGGAACAAGTGGGTCTTTAAGGTCAAGCAAAATCCTGATGGGACCCTGAACAAGTATCAAGCCAGGCTGGTGGCTAAGGGTTTCCATCAACAACAGGGCTTTGATTTTACTGAAACTTTCTCTCCTGTTGTCAAGCCTGTCACAGTTCGAATTGTGCTCACTATTGCTATATCTAAGAAATGGCATATCACACAATTGGATGTGAGTAATGCCTTTCTAAATGGCACACTTGAGGAGGAAGTATATATGCAGCAGCCTCCTGGGTTTGAGACCACTGGTAATGCTTCCTTAGTGTGTAACCTGAACAAGGCTATCTATGGGCTTAAACAGGCTCCTAGAGCCTGGTTTGAGAAACTGACTACAACTCTAAAAGGGTTTGGCTTCTCTTCTAGCAGGTGTGATCCTTCACTCTTCACTCTTGTCACTTCCTCTTATACTATTATTATGCTAGTATATGTTGATGACATTATTGTCACTGGAAATTCTGTTGTGCACATTCAAGATCTGGTCACTAAACTGCACTCTCAGTTTGCCCTCAAACAGCTAGGAGCACTGGAGTATTTTCTGGGTATTGAAGTCTCCCATTTTAAGGATGGATCTCTCTTTCTCTCCCAAACAAAATACTTAAAAGATCTGCTTGCTAAAGCCAATCTCAGTGAAGCTAATGGAGTTCCCACCCCTATGATTTCAAGCCTTAAGCTCACCAAACATGGCACAGATGTACTGCAGGATCCTACTTTTTATAGGTCTATTGTTGGGGCACTGCAGTATGCCACCATCACTAGACCTGAAATCAGCTATGCTGTTAACAAAGCCTGTCAATTTCTGTCTAATCCTCTGGAAAGTCACTGGACTGCTGTAAAAAGGATTCTTAGGTACCTTAAAGGGTCACTTTATCATGGTCTGCACCTTCAAGGGGCTAACACCCAAGTTCCACTCTCTATTGCAGCATTTTCTGATGCTGATTGAGGTGCAGATCCTGATGACAGGAAGTCTACATCTGGCTCCTGCATCTTTCTTGGTCCTAACCTTGTTTCTTGGTGGTCCAAAAAGCAGACCTTGGTGGCCAGGTCCAGCACAGAAGCTGAGTACAGGAGCCTTGCTAATTCTGCTTCAGAAGTCCTATGGATTCAGTCACTCCTTATTGAGGTAAAGATACCCTTCATCACCCCTGTTCTTCTCTGTGATAATCTGAGTATTGTGGCTTTGTCTCTCAACCCTATTCTGCATACTAGGACTAAACATATAGAATTAGATATATTTTTCCTAAGGGAAAAGGTGTTGAGCAAGAGTTTGGTTGTGAAACATAATCCTACTTTTGATCAGTATGCAGATGTCCTTACTAAGCCTCTCTCCCCTCTCAAGTTCTTACAGCTAAGGAGCAAATTGCAGGTTCTTGACAGGACCTCCATAGATCAGGGGTGACCTGAGTTTCTAGGGGAGCTATTAGAGTATATACATGAGTAGCATAGAAAGGGTATCTTTGTAATATGGCTGTGCTGAGTCAGTACAGCATAGGAGTAGTATATAAACTCTGCCCTATCCATTATTGTAACTAACTGTGAATTCTGTTTTTAATCAAGATCTATTCTCTCTCTCTTCTTTCCACTACAGTTCAGTTTATAACAGAAGGTAGTATTAATTATCATCTATGAAGCATGACACACTTGGCTTTAGGCGTAACGCCTTGTTTGGCCTGCATTAGCGTGGGTTGGAGTTGGACATTCACAGTCTTTCTACACATGTTCTTGGCTTTGATACCCCCCCGATATTCCTTAGGTATAGTTAGAGCAGACGCAGCTATCGCTTTTAGGATAACAGAAACAAAAAAGAACGCTTTTAAAAGTTATAAAACAGTATTTAAGTTTGGCATTTGAAATGTCCTGTCTTCATCTTCTTTGGTTTTCATCTGCTTTTCCCAATTTCCCATATTCGATTCTCCATTTTCGGTCTCATAGTCGTCTTTTTTTTCAGTCTTCGTCTTCATTTCATCTCGTGTTCGTAGACAACGTCTCCCTTCATCTCGGGACACTGTTCGCAGTCGACGTCTTCGCTCTATTCGCAGACAACGTATGCTTTCTGACGATGTCCCGTTGCCTACTTTTAGTATCAATGTCCCCCTCTCAGACGTTGTCTCTTCCTCATCTGTATCTTCATCTGCTTCTGTAAATTCAGGTACCTCTTTGATTGGTTACTTGATGATTTTAGTTGTAGTTTCATGATGGCTTAGTTTGAAAGTTACTCTTCAGTAGTTTCTTTGCTTTTTATATATTTGTCAACATTTTAAAATGTTAAAATAAGCATGTGTGCAGTATATTTTAAAACATTTTATGGTCATTTTGATTCTAAATTTAGATATTTTATATATTATATTCAACTTCAGTTTGATATATATAGATGTGTCAATGTCCTATATATTGAACATTATCCAGTGTTTGTCCTGTGGCCAATGCCCATGTCTATATTCGTGCTTCATAGTTTATTGCAAACTAAGTCATCTAAAGTTTGCCTAGGTCTGTTAGTGAGGAGAATGTGCACAAAGCTATTTCTTACTAGGAATTCTTTTGTGCGACCCTTTGTGAAAAACCAATCCTTTGAAGAGAGGTCTTACTCTTGTTGCTCTATCAATATCAGCCTCAAATGGGATTGTCCACTAAGAGGATTCGCGTGAATTTCATTAAAAAAAGTGCATTAATTTGTAAAAGCAGAGTGTGTGGATTATTTATATGGTAATGAGTAACATTAATGGATATGTAATTAATTTAGAAGATATATACCATTTCTGTAACATGATAGAGAGATCTAAATTAGACACATAATTTGGACGCGTGAAAATGTTAATATGGTATTAAAATATTCGTTGGGCTACCATATATATGACTTGAAAATTTGTTTAAGTGGGAGGCATTTCTCATCTAACTAAGTATGTTATAAAAAAGATCTCCATATTTTCCTTTCAGGACTGTTTATGTATGTGCATTCATTTCTTTGGTCCTTTCTTTGTTAGTTGAAAGACTTGAATTTTAGACATCAAAGTTTTTGTGATGCATATTATTTTCTCATATAACATTAGGATGTGGACTATAATTTGTAACTATTTTCAAACTGTTTAGTACAGTATAACAGGTAGGGTTGGCAAAACGAGCCTGGCCCGTTGGACATGCCCGTTTTACCCGCACTTTAGTGCGGGGCGGGCCAAGAATTTAGGCCCTCACCCTCTTATGTGACCGCCCCGCCCCGTTTTCTTCGCAGGCTTTTGCGGGCATGAATATTCGCATAAAATTTTACACTTTTAGGCCTAAAAGGTGCATTGTCCGCGGGCTTTCCCCGCCCCGCACTCACTTTTTTGCGGGGCGGGCCTAGGTTTTAGGCCCTCATCCTCAACTATGCCCGCCCCGCCCCGTTTTTTTGCGGGGCGGGCATGCCCGTTTGCCACCCCTAATAAAAGGGTTCCTATTTTTAATAACTTTGTAATTATCCATTCTAGTTTCAGAAGAAAGTGAGGTGAAGATACCAGAGGATAAAAAGCAAGCAGAGGTTTGTTTGCTGTTAAATTCAGATGCAAATGTTGAATATTAAATTGAATTTTTGGCTGGTTGGATGTTTATGTATTATAAACTTAATGCTTCTATGGACAGACAGCACCTGAAATGCAGAAACCATCAAATTCCATTGTGTCTCTTCTGAATGGAATTGGAATTGTATCTTCTGGTCTGTTGGGTGCTCTCTATGCACTCTCTCAGAGAGAAAAGTCTGCTGCTGTGGCAACAATAGAAACAGTAAGCTTCTATATACTTTATTTATGATTCTTGAATGAAGGAAATGAGGGATTGTTCCTCCCTTTTTCATATTTCTCGAGGCACAATGATGGAGTGAATAGGCAAATTGGTTCTCAAAATTGTAAATATTGGTTAAAATAGTTGCTCATTTTTAGGGATTGGCAAATACATCTCCGAAATTGTAAAGTGTCATTCAAAATAGTTTCACTGTTAATTTCTATCGTTAGATGCTATTACATGACATGTCAACTGAACATGTCACATTGCACACTGATCCCACATCAATGCCAATTCACTGAAGACTAATTTGCCTAAGAAATTTAGATTATCTAAAAGATAAATTTGTTAGTAATAGAAATTGTCCATTTACTTGTTAACGTAACATTTAACATGGAAGGGGAACATATTCGGTTAGTGTTCATTGTCTTTAACAGTCAAAGTTAGTAGAGGGACTATTTTGACTGGTATTTTACAATATTAGAGGTGTATTGCCAATTCGAAAAAATGAGTGACTATTTTGAGCTTTGCTTAGAATTTTGAAGTCCAATCATTGGTCTTTTTTCATCTAGTTTGATTTTAGATGGTATTTTCTCGGAAAAAGATGTGGTATTTACGTTTTATTTTACTGGCCAATGTGCACAGATGAACAACAAACTGAAGGAAAAAGAAGAGCAAATTGTTTCGTTGAAGAGGAATTACGAATTGAAGTTATCAAATGAACAGGAGGAACAAGCCAAGCTACTAGGAAAGGCAAAAGAAGAGCAGAATGCACTGATCGACCAACTAAATTCTGCAAAGAGTACCGTCACCAGTTTGGGAAAGGAGCTAAAAAGCGAGAAAAGTTTTATTGTCGAGCTGAAACTTCAAATGGACAGGCTTGCAACTGACCTTTCAAAAACCGATACAGATAAGAAAGACCTTGAAACTAATTTGAAAGAAAAGGTAGATTCTATTGAAATTTTACAGAAAAGAATTGATCTGCTGAGTGAAGACCTAAAGGACAAAGAACATGCCGTTCAGAGTCTGAATTCATCTCTTGCAGATAAAGAGTTGGAATTGAGGAATTTGAATTCTACTTATGATCAAACCAAGGATGAATTATCCAATGCCCATGTGCATATTCAAGGGCTGAAAGATGAAATACTGAAAAGCCAAGAGAAACTAGCAGAAAAGGATTCCGTTGTGATTGAACTAAATTCGAGCGTTAGCTCCTTAACTCTTGAGAACGATAACTTTAGAAGCGAATACGATGTATTGGAGAAGGAATTCAATGACCTAAAGTTGACTTCTGAAATGAAGGCTGCTTTGGATGCTAAGGTTTTAAAAGAAAAGGAAGACGAGCTTCATCAGCTAACAGATAAACTTGAACTCGCCCTATATGAATCAAGCAAAAACCAGGTACTCATCGCTGATTTGACCCAAGAACGAGAAAGTTTAAAGGAGTCGCTGCAGAATGAATCTAAAAAAGTGAATAATTTGAAGTATGAACTTCAAGTCACTCTGGAGAATCTTGAAAATTCAAGAAATGACTCTTCCGAACTGGAAAAACAGCTAAATAAGTCAAATAATCTGTGCAAAGAGCTTGAGCTTCAAGTCTCTAACCTTTCAGCCGAGCTCCTCAAAGTTAAGGAGTCACAACAGCGTAAACTTGATAATTTGAATCTCGAGGCGGAAAAACTAGCCAACGAGCTTATGACTGTAAAGGAACATTTGAAGAAAGCAGAAGCAGAGCTGCAGAATACATCCCATGAGCTAACTGCCACTCTTGAAAACCGCGATACCCTACAAAGAGAATTAATTGAGATATACAAAAAAGCTGAGGCCACATCAGAGGATTTGAAGGAAGAAAAGAAGTTAGTTACTTCTTTGAACAAAGATTTACAAGCTTTGAAGAAGCAAGTCTTGAAGGACAAGGAGTCACTGAAAACTATTGAAATGGATCTCGAGGAAGCTACCAAATCACTAGATGAAATGAACCGAAAGTCGGTGATCCTTTCTAAAGAGCTAGAAGGGTCTAAATCTCTTATTTCTAGCCTTGAAAATGAGAAAGAGGTTCTTACCAAGTACCTTACAGAACAAAGAAATGCAGGCAAAGAGGCTCAAGAAAACATTGAAGATGCTCATAGCCTCATCACTAGACTTGGCAAAGAAAGAGAGAGTTTAGAGAGCAGAGGGAAGAAATTGGAAGACGAATTGGCTTCGGCCAAGGGTGAAATATTGCGGTTGAGAAGTCAAATCAATACTTCAAAGTCAAAAGCTGTTGTTAACAACGAGCAGCGAGTACAAAAAGATGAAGGCGAAACCCAAGAAGCCACTGTAAGTGTGCGGAAGAATGTTCGAAGAAGAAAGATTAACCCTTCGTAACCAAGAAAGTTTAAAAGATAGTATTGTATGATAAATTATTTGGAAGGAAGTTTGATATTATTGCACTTTATTCACTTTGGATAAGTTTTCATGTTGCAATAGTATTGTACAAATGAAATAACAGAGTAGGAATTGCTGAGCTGAAGTTTTAGGAGTGTTGATTTGTAATAATTTTCACAATAACCTGAAGAAAAAAATTGAGAATGCGGGGTTGTTTTTTATATTGAGAATTGTTTGTTGGCTCTTGTCTATCAAGAAAATCATCATGCTTCCATTTTCCAACTTTCTTTGATGTATGATCATTTCCAAGCATGTGATGAAAAAGTCCTCATTAGCATGAAGATAATGTAATCCAAAAGCAGTACTGTACTTGTGCTCAAAATGAAAACAAACAATATGATTCATGAACTTTCAAAGCAATGAAATTGATATCTCATCCTATGATTTTCTTCAAGGTCATCATCTCTTTTATCTGGTATGACAAACAAATCAATAAATCGATACAAGTGATTTATGAGTGCTGAAAGAGCTTTATGGACACGAGGAATAGCGTCTGAAGTAAGTATGTGTACGAGCTTAAAACAACCATTTTTCCATTTTCTGATCTAACAACTAGCCTGCCTACCAAGTACCTCTAGTGTTATTGACATGGGTCATCATTAAATTACATAGGTGCACAGTTTTTTTTCTTCTTCTTTTCATTATTAGCGAGGTTCATACAATATTTCCAAAAAAAATCAACAATTAAATACTACATCCAATTTTTCTTCTTAAAACTTTGTTATCTTGAGAATGATTCCTTAGAAAAACAATGTTTATGCAACCAAGTACTAAAACAAAAATTATACTTGAACAAACAACACATAATTGTCATATCATTCTCCTCTTTAGCATGAGACATGGCATCAGTCACCTCCTTGGTATCTGATTTAATCTTCCTTTTCATTTTCTTTAGTTTTGGATACTGATGACAGAGGTCATCATGTGATTTTTATGAAGAAATTTGGGAAAGTTTTATGTGACTTTTATGAAGAAATTTGGAAAAATTTAAAAGAAGAGTGATAAAAAATCATGTTAAAATGTGAAGAATAGAGCAAAAAATCAATACGAAGTAGCTAAAGACTTGGTGAAAATTATAAAGAAAAAGGAAGGAAAAAAAGAATTTCGTCACACGTTTTCTCGCGCGTGTGGTGCATTTTATTGCAGTGCGATGAAGAGTGCATCCCGACACGATAGTGAGTCATTGTGGTGCGATGTTGCTTTTCCGTTGAACACACTTTTTGCCTATTTATGGGGATTTTATTCTCTTTTTCAAGGGTACCGAATTTGAGAAGAAAGTGACGGCTAGGGTCATTCAAGGAGTGATGGCTAGGATCATTCATGGTATTTGTCAATTTATCAATGGGTAGCTAAGTTTCTCTAGATTGGAGCTTTTTGGGATGAACTTTATTTTTACTCTGTTGAATCATATGTCTGTTTGAGATTTGTTAAGTACATTTAATATTATTATCTTATTTAAATTGTTCTAGTGTTTAATGCTTTTGGTCACTTACAAACGTATGAATTGATCTAGATGATTAGAGATTTCTGACCATTAATCTAATTATCTTAATTAGGCAATTTATTCAACTTCGTAAATGAATTAGGAATAAGAAGAATTTCAAAGTTATTGCTTATGACGTAACACATTGACATCTAATTTGTCTTTGAATTGACCTAAGTAATTAGGAGATTATTGTATAGATTAGTGAGCTACACACCAAGGAATTAGATGTAATGGTTATTTAATCCACTGTGAGATGATAATATGATTGAAACTGAACAAGTACACAATTCATCAACGTGTAAAAATAAGGGGATTCGATAAATAGTCCTAATCGTCTTTCACATCTTGATTCTCATCCTTCTGATTTCTCTTCTTATAACCACTTTTCTAAAGAAAACCTCCCAATTATTTGCCAAATTTTGCAATTAAATTTCTTGTTAAAATTCAATCCTCGTGGAGATGAATATTATATTATTACTTCAACTATATCAATACACTTGTCGAGAGGCCATTAAGTTTTTTTACGCTGTTGTCGAAAATTGTTGATTTTCAACAAGGCAATTTAGTGTGACATTTTTAGTTTATATTTTTTTTCATTTTAACTTTTGCAATTTCTAATTTTCGACTTAGTTTTTATTTTATTTTCTTATTAATTTTAACTTTAAATTTATCTCTACTTTGGTGTTGTTTGTGAAGTGTTACTAAGGTATTTCTTATTTGTTTAAGCGAGATATCAAACGACGATGATACATATCGATCTTGATATCGAAAGAACAGTGCGTGCATTTCGTAAAGCAAAAAGAGAAGCACATCAAGCCACCGAAAAAGTCAAGGAAGAGAAAGATGGCAATTTCAGCACGTCAAATGTTGGGAGATTATTGCAGGAGAATCGACTCCGGCTAGATTTGCTTAGGATTCCAACCAACGAATTCGGTAACTTTTGACATAAAAAATTATGTGCTTTAAGTTTTGAAAGAGAGCTCGTTCAACAGGCAAACAATCAGATATTCTTGAGAGCACCTCGCTATATTCTACGAGACATGCTTAATGTGAAAACCATGCGGTGAAATCACCGCAGATCATGTAAAATTAAGTTTGTTTGGTTTTTCCTTGATAGGTTGCCCAAAGGATTGTTTGCAGTTAATTCCAAATGGCACTATTCAGGCTTTAGAAAGAGCATGAAGAAAAATTTCTAGAGACCTACTAATCCAATGCTCAATTTATGGAAAGGAAAGCTGCAATTACTACTTTTTCTCAAGAAGAGGAAGAATCACTATTTTATGCATAGGAAAGGTTCAAGTTGTTGCTCCGAAAATGCCTGAATCACAACATGAGTGCCATAGAGAAGATGGCACACTTCATCGATGGGTTGAGAAATCAAACGAGAAGGCTTCTCGATGCCTCAATTGGAGGTACATTGAGACTAAAAACTAATGAAGAGTTAAAGACATTGATTGAAAATATTTGTCATAATGAGTATCATTCAAGCGAGCGTGCAATGAAATCAAAAGCTATTCATGTTATCGACTCGAAAAAAGATTTGGTCGCTCAATTAGAAGCAATTACTAAATAGTTAGCCGCAGTCCAACTAGCTCAAGCTAATGTAAGTCAGATTCAGGTACGTTATTATGATTTTTTATGGAGGAGAACATGTCAATGGCAATTGTTCCATCGAGGTGGATCGTGCAAAATTTTGGTATGCTAATTTTCAGAAGAATAATCTTTATTCCAAACCTACAATCTGATGTGGAAATATCATATGAACTTTAAGTGTAATAACAATCAAACTTTGAATGATAATCAAGGTGTTCAACAAGATCCTCAAGCACCCCCAACACAAACCCTCACCTTTTGAAGAAGCATTGCAAGGTTTCATGAAGTCCACTATTGAGAGTTTCCCTAAAGTGAATAAGGCCCAAGAAGAAATGGCTAAGTATTAGCAAGATATGGCCCAGAACCAGACTCTGATAAACAAGAATAGTGACACATCCATAAAAAACTTAGAGATACAGGTCGTTTAATTATCACGTCAAATGGAGGCGCTAGCTAGTTCAAGCGGGGGATTTGTGGGTAATACCGTAGAATGAAACATGCAAGTCCATCAATTTTAGAAATAGAGTAGTGTTCTTCGTACCTATGGATGGTAAGGAAATGAAAGAAAAAGAAGTAGTAGTTGAGGAAGAGTTTGAGAATAGGTTTGAGTAAGAACAAAGTGAGCATAAGAGTGAAGATGAGGAAAAAGGGATCTTAACTGAACCAAACCCCGAGCTACCTGACTACATAAAAAATCCTTACCCGATTCTGAAAAAGACACCCAAGAAGGAAAAAGAGGTGAGTCAGTTTAAATTTTTTATAAAAATGTTGAACAAGATACAAGTAAATATTCTTTTTTGTGAAGCCCTCAAGATGATGTCTATTTATGCAAAGTTTATGAAAGATCTCTTATCAGGAAAGTGGAAGTTAAAACACGATGAAAACATCGCTTTGGAGGAAGAGCACAGTGTAATAATTTAGAGGAAGCTTCCACCAAAAATCAATGATCCAAGTAGGTTTACTATTCCTTGCTCAATTGGTTCACTAACAATTAATCATGCATTATGTGACTTAGAAGCTAACATCAATCTAATGTCTTTATCCATGATGAGAAAGTTAAAGTGTCGTGAACCAAATCTAACACATATGACCTTGACACTAGCTCATCGTTCTATCATGTATCTGTATGGAGTGTTGGAGGATGTCCTTGTTAGAGTTGATGGACTCTTGTTTTCAGCTTATTTTGTAATTCTTGACATGCCTGGGTATTCAGAAACACCATTACTATTAGGAAGAACATTCTTGGCCATAGGTAAGGCTCTAATCGATGTGGCACTGGGAGAATTGATAGTGAGGTTTAAAGAAGAAAAAGTTCTCTTCGTGTTTGAAGAATTGAAGCATCACCATGAAAATCCTCAGGGCTACAAGGTAAGTATGGTGAAAGAAAACCCAAAAAGATTTCAAAAGAAAAAATCGTAAGAATGAACTTTCAGGTAGGCCAGGAAGTAATGATGTATAAATATCACTGGAAAGGATTGCTAGGTAAGTGGAAATCTTGAATTGTTGGTCCCTTTATTATAAATTTAATTTTTACAGGTGGAGCAAATGAATTAATTGATCTCGGCGATGCACACACCTTTTGTTAGAATAAGATTTGGTTCTGTAATTTATCTGAGTTTTGATGATAACAATACATATATTTTATATATAACAATTTTGTTATTTAATAGTTTCTTGAGTGTGTAGATAAAATATTATAATTGATTCAGGATTGTTGTATGAAGAATCATCATAATAATACTTGGCACGTCTCAGAAAGACTATTTCATCAGTTTTTGAAGAAACATATGTAGTTCTAATGAATGTTGAATGATTCGCCAGAAAAAGGATATGTTGTACCCCAAAATTTACCCTCCCATTT